TTTGTACCGCTGCGTTATATTCAAAATCCAAATTTTTGCAAAACCACCTTTTTATTTAATCCAGATACAGCTATGCTTAGTCTTACAAAGTAAACTTTTAACACCACCACAGTTGATTTGGGTGGGTTCTTAGGCAGGTAGGTAAAATTCTTCCTTGTGAAATTTTCCTAAATGAATGAGTGGGAGAAGAAATATAAAAGGCTATTTTTATATATATAGATATATTCGTGGTTTAGGTATCTTGAAAAGTTTAAATAAAGGAAATCTGATCCTTTAGTTCCTTGCTCTGTTGAGCCAGGCGATACTTCTCTGGGATGTTACATGTCCTTAAATATTATGTAACAGTTTATTAATTCTGCATGTAAAATCCCAGTGTTGATTTCAGGATGCGGACAAATCTCCACGTATGTGTGTACTTATAACATCCTCCATAATAAACATTTTCCCATCAACTTCTCTGAACTCTTAACTTCCTGCTTGGTTTCTACGTTAGAATCTCTGCCAATAGCAGGGCCAAAAATGAAGCAACTTTACATCACATTCAGTGTTAAAATGGCTGACCTGGAATACCGCTACTTTTGCCAAATGCTCCAAAGTCCTCAAGTTACGAACGTCATGGAGCCTTCCCATTGCGATCATTAAGTCTTGACAGTCGTAAAGCCTCAAAAAGTTCTATAGTCTTTTTTCTGGTTAAATTTTAAGCAGGTACCACAGTCTTAAAGCAAACCCCTGATTTGTCATGGGTCAGTTTTTCCTGACAACTGGAAGTAAATGCCTTTTCTTTTTTTTGCAAAACCATCATAAAATATGACCCTGGGACCCTGCAGACAGTGGAAAATATGTGTAGTCATGTGACTGTCTGAATTTTGAATGTGGATCATAGCATTGGTGCTACAATGGTTAGAATGCAGTGTTGCAGTCTAATTCTGCTGACAGCCAGCAGTTCAATCCTTGACAGGGTTCAAGGTTGACTCAGCCTTCCATCTGTCCGAGGTCGGTAAATGAGGACCAATTCATTATGTACCCTTTGAAATTCAGCCTCCCAGCAGGGGGAAAGAGTTAGCTGCAAACACAGACTTTATTAGAAACCCAGAGATCGAGGTATCAACGGAAAAGAATATTTGTGGCTCAGGATCGAACCGTGAAGTCCTTGGTGCTAGTTGAGCTTGGTGGTTTTTCTGGGCAGACATTTTGTTGCCCAACTAGGTAACATCATCAGTGCTAGAAATGAGGGGAGTTTTCAGAAAGAAGGAGGAGGAGGACTGTGGGATCCTTGGTGCTCTTTGGACCTGGTTGTTTTCTGGCAGACATTTCATTACCCAACTAGGTAACATCATCAGTACTGATAAAGGAGAATATTTGTAGCTCAGGGTTGACATGAGGGGTCCTGGGTGCTCTCTGAGCTTGCTTGTTTTTTTTTGCAGACGTTTCAATAACCAAACTAGGTAATTTCATCAGACCAGCACCCCTCACTCAAAAATCCAAACCAGGACAAAGCCATTTAGCCATAATAGGAATTGCCCAGCACCCTTTCAGAACACAAGCCTCTTTCACTCAGCAGTCCAAACTTCAACCAAATCAGACAGCTCAAGACAACTGACAGAGCCAGCTATGACCCCTACATAACCCCTACAGCAGCCGATAGAAAACATGTTCTTGCACAGGAACAGGAAGCTCAAGTGCAAAGCTCAGAGAAGGTATAAAAAAACCCACCCTCAACTGCATGTGGTCAGCTTTCCAGAGTCACATGTCGTTCTGTTTCATCCTTGAACCATCTTTCCAATCAGCCTCCATGTTTCCAGTGTCTTTCTCCCAGCTTGAGACTGAGCCAGATGGATGTTTCTTCCCACATGACAATTTGCAAATGAGGTTGCTTGGAGCAAGAGGTCCCAGCTGGCACTTCATGGGGATGTAAGTACCAGGTTCCAATTCAGACCAGAAGAGCATCTTCCTTATTTCAGGAAATGTGGAAGACGCTCGTATGGTGAGCAGGATACCAACAGGGAAGGCATATCTATAAAGTTAACCTTGATACAGAACTACAGGTAGTTCTTGACTTATGACCACAATTGAGGCCTGAATTTCCATTGCTAAGCAAGACTGTTTGTTAAGTGAGCCACACTCACTTTTATGACCTTTTTGGCATGGGTCGTTAACTGAACCATTGCAGTTGTTATAAGTGAATTATTAGATTGTTAGACGAATCTGGCTTCCCCCAGTGACTTTGCAAATTGGAAGCTGGCTGGGAAAATCTGAATGGCAACCACATGATCCAACCCTCGTATCTCATAAAGGCATCATAAAGGCAAAACATGTAAAGAATGGTTGCAGGAATTGGCTATGTCTAGTTGAATGAAAAGAAGGACTAGGGGCTGACATGATAGCAGTCTTCCAATATCTAAGGGGTCGCCACAAAGAAGTGAGGGGTCAAGATATTCTCCAAAGCTCCAAAGGCAGGACAAGAAGCAATGGACGGAAATTAATCAAGGAGAGAAGCAACTTAGAACTAAGGAGAAATTCCCTTACAGTGAGAACAATTAATCAGTGGAACAACTTGCCTCCAGAAATTGTTGGTGCTACATCACTGGAAGTTTTTAAGACGACATTGGACAAGAGATTGTCTGAAATGCTATACAGGTTCCTATGTAAGCAAGGGGTTGGACCAGAAGACCTCCAAGGTACCTTCCAGCCCTAACCCTAAACTTAACCCTAATCCTAACCATACCTATAACACAA